TCTTTAATTTCTTAATTACTTTCTATAAAGTTCAAGCATATCAAAACAATGAATTCAATAACAAAGCTGATAAACTAGCCTACAACCACTCTAATGCACCAATTCTTATGCTTAATTTTAGTAATACATATAATGTCTAATTTGTTCTTCTTTTTAATAATCTTCCTTTTGAACTTCTTTTTTGCTATAGTATCTGAACTATATACAATGCAAATATTTTTATACAATAGTCTTTTCAATATTATTTTCAGCAATGGTCTTCTTTCTTAAAAAACATTCATTAGAATGCTACCTGGCTTTATCTTAATAACAACCAAAAAGTCTCAAACTTTGTGCATAGCTTTTAATTATCAATGCTTAAAATATTTAAAATTAAATTACTACTTGATGATCTCCTATCTCCTCATGTTCTTCATAAAAGATACCCTTCCTATCTCAACTCCTGCCATATTTGTCAACAATCTACAAATGTACTCTACTGGGTATTTTTTTTTTCTTTTAGCCCAATATTAAACCTTTTTAATATATCCCTACAACATATTTTAACTTTAAGCAAATTTCAAATTTCTCAAACCCAAATATATCATCTTCTTAGTCAAATTAAAAACTTAAATAGCTTACAAATTCATGCTTTTACTTTTAAACTATTACTATTTTCTACAATTACTGGCCTTGTTTCAGTAGATATTCTAAACACTATATAAAACTACATCTTTTCTAAAAACTTCACCTGCTCTCTTACTATTAAATTTCTCAGTTACCTTAATTAACAAATCTACTCAAATATTTGGATCCTACTGCACTTCAAGATTACAATCTAACCTCACTTCAAACAACAATAGCAATACCACTTCTACCAATTCTTCTGCACTTTCTTCTAGTTTAACCTCTTTATCCAAAAATTCTTATAATTTATCTACACTTAATTCACTTTGCAAATTAAAAACTTGATATCCCAACTGAATTAAATTCTCTTTACACCCTTTACTTATTTTTATTTATTCTCAATCTAGGTAAGTCTTGGTCACTCTGGTAGGTTTAAACTGCAGATAAGTATTTAGGTTTACTTAAATATATGTCTAAGTTCTTTTTCTTAGTTTTAAATTTAAAAGATAAAACCTTTTTGATTATATAAGAAATCTTTGTTAAATCTAATAAAGATAAGAGTATGATTTTACCTTTAACATTAAAAAAAAAAAAAATCTTAATAAGAATAGATTGTGAAAAAAAACAATCTAATTAGGTTATATGAAGTAACATTATTGTCAGGAAAAACTTGAATAAAATAGTATACTATGTTTTAAATTATTAAAATCAGAAGGATCAGGTAATTGTGTAGCTATTTTAACTTTCCTTCCTAAAACTGCATTATTTTCTTCTTTTTTACTTATATGACCTTTTTTTTCCCTCTAGCTTTTTCTTTATTGTTTTATAATAAAACTTTAACATTCGATTCTAATTGTCTTTTACTATTTAAATTAATAAAAGTTGTATCATTACTTAATTCTGTAATATCACCAACACCATTATATTTATTATCATCAAGCATCTCTTTGGCTAAAAGATCTTCAAGTGTTTGTAAAATAAATAAACCTTTATAAAGGTCTACTAACTCAGTAGATAATTCTTCATCTTTTTGCATCATCATAAACTAAATAATAAAATTTCTTAATGCTTGCATCAAAATTTTAAATTAACAACTAATAATCAATTAATAGATTTTACCTTTTTAACTTATTTAAAAAGAATGCAAAAAATACTATTCTTTTAATTTTTAATTATTAAATAACTTGGCTAAAGTTATATTATTTTATTTTTCGTTTGTAATAAAAATATTTTAGGCACAAAACTTAAAGATGCATAATTCTTTAAGCGATTGCAGGTAAAAAAAAAAAAAAAAAACAAGATCCAAATGTAATTTTTTTTTTAAGAAAAAATAAGCGAAAGTAATTTTTTTTTTTTAAAAAAAAAAAACCAATCTAAAAGTCATTTAAGAAAATCATGAAATAAGCCAATTTTTTAGCCGTGAGAATAAGAACAATTAATATCCAAAAATAAAAGTCGCTAAACTTGATTAAATAATTTTTAGGGTTTGATCAACGTAATTAGTACATTTTCTAGTTAGTGTAGATCATTCATAACCCAATTTATGCAATTGACATTTTGTCATTATGTTATTCAAGTCTAGCCAAATTAAATAAGGTATCTCTTGGGGGACCTCTCCCATCGTATTTTTTGGCAATTGCATTAAAATTGAATTTTGCAGGCAAATTTGCCTGCTTAACGTATTAAGAGATAATATGGGATGAGCAAAATTTAATTCTGAACAACTTTAATTAAAAGCTCAAGAACAAGAAATCATTTCAGTATTTAGCAAATTGGCTATGAATAATCGTAGCCGTTCGTAGTCGAGCCCATCACTTATTTCTATCGATTCATAGAATTAAAACTAGTAAAACAGGCGTGCCGTTTCATAGGACTGGGGCCTTATTTGTTACACGTTTAAATTATTTTTTGAGACCTTAATCAATACTAAATACTTTTTAGAATCATTCATTAAATTGATTATGGTTTTTTTTTTAATTTAAAAATAAAATTGACTTCTTTAACAATTCTTTTAGCATATTTCTTTAAGCTGCAAATAACCGATTCAATAATCAAATATGTAATCCGGATTATCTGATTTGAACAAATCACTCAATCTCGATTCGTTTAAACTGTCCAATCGTTCAACTATTGATCCGCAATTCTATCATTTTGAACGACTTGCAAAACTTGAATTTAACCATGCACTCGTTCCACAAATTCACTATACTATTTATCAATTTTATCTTGCAAAATGATTGAAAGATGATGTAATTATCTCATACGAAGGAACATTTTTAATATTTATATACTGTAGTTATTGTAATGCCTTATTTTAACTCATATTTTTATATATTTATAAATATTTAATAAGTTCATAGATTTTCTGCACTATACAACACTATTTTACTGAATAGATCTACATTCTGGTTTTTTTGATTTAAACGACACTTTAAAATACTAGAAAAATTTAGACGTTCGTTTTGTTAAATCGTTTATTACTCAAAATTCTATATAAGAAACTATTGACGTAAACGAACTTTGAAGATTTTTGCTGTGCCACAAACCTGGAACTCATTTCCAGCATGCGATAAACACAACCGTTTATATTTTTTCACACATGTACCTGAAACAGAGTCGAAAATTTAGGCATTCAAATATTTAATATACAGTAAAATGATTATATATTTTGAATCAATTTCAAAATATTTAATCGTAATAACGATTAAAACAATTGTACAAAAATGAGAATTGATTCTAATTTGATTAATGATTAAACCGATTATATAGAATCGATTTACAGCCCTAATTGTAATGATGACATTACGAATTGTCAAGCATGTAATCTAAACATGAGATTTATGAGGATTTCTGCATTATAATTTAAGCAAGCATACATGAAGCATAGCGCGATGGTTAGAACAGAATGTAGCAAATAATTGGAGCGAAAATAGCTTATATTATGACATGGCATAGTAATTAGAATAGAACATAGCATGATAGTTAGGTTCGGGATGTAATGGGATGTAGTATAGTAGTTATGTAACAATTTTTTAATAACAATCTTATTAGGCCAAGCAATTTTTTTGGGTTTCATAACCGGCCGAGTCAAAATTTGCTAAACTTAGGAAAAAAATTTAAATACACTATCCAGGTAGTTTATTTTTAAAAAATTAACCCAAAAATTTTCATATGTAATTTTTTTGAAAACGAAATTAAAATCCAGGTATCGAACCAATTTTTTTAAATTTTTGGGTCATGAGCACCAAAATGTAATTTTATATAGCTTTATATTTGTTAATTTATTATTTATGTGAATATAAATTAAATTTTACGCAGAATTGCATGCTTTTGAAAATCGTAAATTTACAAAATTTTCTCTAAAGTTTAATATTAACCTTTTAAAAAATCATCACTAAAAGAAATTTCCAAATGAACATACACGCACGTTTATAGTAGTATATTATATATTTGCACGTTTATGGTATAATATAGTTATATAATTACATACGATATCATCATTCTTAAGGATTGGTGATAAAAAAAATAGTGACAAATAATGCTCCTCTGTGATAACAGTGTCGAGTAACTCATGAAGTAGTAGGTGATGTTTTGACAGATCTTGCGAAATTACACAAAATCATTTTAAAAATAAATCTCTCCTGTACCGGGAGCACGGGCTATACGCTAGTATATAAAATAATAACGATAATAATAAAATGATATGATACTAACTAAATAAAGAAAAGAAAAAAGAAAAATTCGAGCATGGCAACGGCAATACTTATTGCTATAGTGAATGCCTTTAATATAGAATCGAAAAACTAATACAGTAATTATAATAAGTCATTAATAAGAATTCATTTTTTGAAGACCGACTCTTGGAAGACGTTGGCTAGTTAAAGATTGTAGCACATTTGAATAAGAATTTTTCTGTCTTTTCAATTTGGCCAATTTAAATTGATTTTTTATGCCATCATCGTCATCAATTGATTTATCTTCAGAAAGAAACTGGACCCATCTCTCTAAAGTAGAGGCTAAATCTTGTGCAATGGGTCGTTTGGCTGGGTCAGCATTCCAACACTGCTTCATTAAATTAGCATAACATTGGGGAGTTCCTTTAATTACCTCTGGCCTTAATCCTTTACAAATTTTTATAGATAATTTCGTATCATACTTTGATTCATAAAAGGGCGGTCGAAAAGAGGTGAATTCCCACATAATTATGCCAAAGCTGTAAATATCTGTAGCTTTTGTATGTGGTTTTCCAAGGAGAATCTCTGGCGCCACGTACGGTAAAACTCCCATGGGATCTTTGGTTTGAGTTCCATCTTTACAAGCTAACCCAAGATCGGCAACAAAGCTACGCCTGTTATCGCCAAATAATACATTACCACTGTGTAAGTCACGGTGCACAAGGCCCAACCGATGAAGGCTACGAATATCAATTGCAAGACTCCAAAGCCTATCAAGACGATCTTTCCAAGTAATGGTATCGAAGGTAGAGGTTAAATAAGTTCGTAAATCACCCCTCTCGACGTATCGCATGACAATTAGATAATCTTTTGTGACAGGATGTTGTGTTATGCCGTAACAATCTATAGAGCCCAAATTAGTTTTTCGAAATTCAAGTAAAGCCTTCGTCTAATTGAATAAATAACCCCAAATGTGTTATTGAATAAACTATTGATAGTTAAAATGAGCAGATAACACAACTATTACCTCTTCAAGAAGGATATTAATATTTTCTTTATCATGTACACTTTTTAAAGCAACCCACATTGATTCACCTCGTTCATATGTATTTGAAGTGAAGTCCCATTTGCAAATACGACCACATTTCCGGTAGGCTTTATAAACAGTGCCATATCCACCGCTACCAATTTGACTAAGTCCTGTAAATTGATTTTCCGGCAACCATTCTAAGACTTGGTCAGGCAATTCGGCGGTTAACTGTGCTTCTTGAATAAATGTATCAATTTTTGAATTGCCACTTGTCCATTTTGGAAATTCAGACTTAAAATAATTAACATTGCAATGACGGCACCAACGGGGATAGACCCATTCTTGGTGACAAAAGTGGCACTGTTTTAATAATTTTTCAATTACTGCATATTCTCCTGTTTTAGGGTTGCGCGTCATTCCGTAAACTATTCGTTTGGATGGGGTTTTCTTTGAAATTTCGTGTTCCTAAAACAAAGGGATGGTGATCAGGCGCCATTTATAGAAAAAACGATACTCAGATTAAAAAGATTATGTTTACCAATTGAAGAAACCGAGGAATTAAATGCTTTTCATCATATTGATTCGTTACCAATTTAACCCACTGTCCACATTGCCGATTCCATTTATCTAAATCTTTATCCCACCCTAGCAAATGACCATCTTCCCAAAAAGCTTTATGATTATTAGAAAGTTGAATTTTTTCAAGGAACTTAAATTTAGAATAATCAACCCATTCAAATATGCACTCGCAGCGTTCGGCAGTTATTTGAGTTTTACGAATAAATTTATCTATTTCAATATTTCCACTCGTCCAATTTGGGAAATCGATTTCAAAACGTTTTGCGTTGCATGATTTGCACCAATTTGTTGCATTGATTTTTTGCCCACATTCTTCGCATAGAACAGAATTATTTTCGTTCGACATTTGAGACTCGTCATCAAAACGTTCATTCATTTTCTTTTAAAAAAAATCGTTACACAATATATATATTAACATTCAGATAAAATATCTAAGCAAATATGTAGCGTATGTTTATTGATTTACAAAATTTATTATTTTGATACTAATTTATTGATTACAAATTTGTGCGATGTAAAGATTATAAGACAAAATTTAACCCAGCTTAAGGTTAGAATAAGTTAGCTTGGAGCTGGGAATAGTTATAATTTATGAGGAATATTTTGGTTAGAACCCTAAAAGTTGTTTTATAATCAGGATTTTGAGACATCAATATATCTGCATATGTACACACAATGTACAAATGAAATTTTCGTTATTAATTAAGGCTAGGATAAAGAAATATAGGACAAAGAAAATATAAGATAAAGAAAATTTAGGATAAAGAAAATTTATACATGGGTACGTATTAATTTTATTAATTTTGTAGTTTGCAAATTCGTGTAACATGTATAGCAAAACAATTTACGAACAAAATTAAACCCTTCTTATGGTTAGAGTAAGGGTGTATTTGGGATTAGGGAGAGGTATAGTTTACACTAAAATTTCACACGAAATTTTTTTTGTTAGAAGCTAAAAGGCGGTTTCATAATTGAAAATTTGAGAGATCGGCTGGTTTATATATTGCCCGTGTACATACCATAAGTCCAAAGCATGCATGTAGGATACCCAATAGCTAACTATTGACGTCAAAAATCTGATCTATATTTGCAATATATCAGATGCATATCAGGTAAAAATATATACAGTCAGACTTCTCTAAATGCACTTGGGGCCACATTTTAATAACGTGCATATAGAGAATAATAAGAAAAGGTGCATTTACAGAGGTCAAGTATATATTTGGGCCAGCACCTAGCGTGCATTTAGAGAATTTAGAGAGGGTGTACACTTATAGAGGGTGCACTTAGAGAGGTCTGACTGTATCGGGTATTCCGATATTTATTTTTTTTTTTTACCTGATATGCTTCTGACATATTGCGAATATAGATCAGATTTTTGACGCCAATAGTTAGCTATCGTGTACCCTATAGAATGCTTTGGACCTGTGTACATCCCGTGTGCGATAGCTAAGAACTAAGCTAATGCGTTACATTATGTTCCGGAACACATGATGATCATCATATAATATAACCCGCGTAAATGCGCATGTTTTGTTACATTAATATTAAAAAGTACAAATATAGTCACGCGGGCGTGACCGACAAAAAATTTCCAAATTACGTGATCTTAATCGGAGATGATTATTTGCGCCAATGAGTGTAAATAATAAATATTTACATGTTGATATTCGCTACGTATAAATTTAGTTTTGGGTTAATGATAGTTATATAGTAATTCATGCTAAAATTTTATAAAATCAAGATTTTGAAATATAAACATATATGAGTATATATATGTTGTGTACAAATTGTATTTCACTTTAAACATATATATTATCATTCTTTCCACTACCTATACATTATAATAAGGTATGTTCTATGTCAATATTAATATCAACCTTAGTAAAAACAACAATTTTGATACTGAAACATTAATACGTATCTTTGTGTATAATAACCTAACATGTATCATTCATCTATTAATGATAACAATGGACGTTTCCATAATTACATTAATTGTGAATTAATCATTGTTAAACATGCATTATTTATTTATGTTAGTGATAAATTTGGGAATAACCGACGTTTGATTGATGACACACATTTGTTTCTTCATATTTTTGTAACTATTTTAATTAATTATTGTCATAGTGATCTTTGTTAAAACATGTATCTGATCTCTTTTGGTATAGGTGTCCCTATTCTAAATTAATTGCTTAATAATATATTTTATTAATGGGGTCATCTATACTAAAAAAAGATCCCACGTATTATTTATTATAATACAGTCAACCCTCCATATAGTCACCTCCCATACAATCACATCATATGTAATCACATTTTTATTTAGACAAACTATGGCTTAATTTATAAAAAAAAAACCTCCAGATAAGCACAACCCCTATATAAGCATTTTTTTTAAAAAGTTCAATCGCTAGCTTGGTCCCAAGCAATATGGGTGTCCCATATTAAAAGAGCCCATTTTGCAATTTTTTGAAAAACGAGTTTTTTATTAGATTCATGTAAATTTTGACACGATTGACATTTTTCAATTATAAATGAAAGTCGATTTGCATAATGAAAAATAGAGATAATGTAAAAGAAAAATTACACGAGACTGACTAAAGCCAAGCACATCACGAGATTACCCGATAGTCAACTGTTACCTTTAACCAATCAGAATCGTGAAATTTGATTAATCCCGAATCAAAAACAAATGATTAAACTCAATGGGACACTTCATCTCATCACGTGGAAGCGTGAAATGACGTCATTTATTTACCAGCACTAAACAAATTAGCCTAAACTAGCCTATCACCTAACCCTAACACTAACCCTAAAGTAGGCCGAACACTTAA